ACGTGGGCGTCCAGGAGTCCAGAGACATAGCTATTACACCAGCTGCTGGTCCCTATTTGTTTATTTTAATTTGACCAGAGAGGGAGGGAGAGAGAGAGAAAGAGAGAGAGAAAAAGTGAGAACAAACCGCCAGGTCTGGAACTCACACTGCAGTCAGCCATGTGGGAGTCCAGCACCCTTAACTACGACGCCACCTGTCGGCCCTCCAGAATTTCTTTTGAAGTGTATTATTGAAAAATATGGTTGGAGGGCCAGCAGGTGTCATGGTGGTTAAGGCAGCTGGATCCCACAAGGCCAACTTCTTGGTTCAAAACACAGACCTGGTGGCTTGAAAAATATGCCAGGTGCGTGTATGTGCACACCCAAAATCCCAAGAGGAAAATGGAGGGGGTGGGGGCTTTCTCACTTTCTCTCCCTCTCTCTTTCCTCTGTGAGCTCACACACACTCTGGCAGAGTTTAAGAAAATACGTATGATTGAATGGATTTTTATAGCACGCTGGGGGAAGAGGTGATTTTCCTTACCACTCTGCCCCTCTTCCCCCACTCCCACACGGTGACCAAATTAGACGGGCGACTGAAACGAGATGGCTGTCAGACTGGTCGCCTTCCACTCCCAGCTGTAAGTTCTCGGTACATTTGAGAAGACAGAGGATCGCGGTTTATCCTTGCTTTCCCCTCCCATCTGCCCAGAGTCAGAACTCCCAGCAGACGCTGACAAGCCGAGTCACCCATTCAGTCCCGTCTCTCCGGGGCCCTCCCAGCTTTGTTCATTGTCATCTTTCTACAAAACCACATTGTACTTGGGTGTTGCTGGGCTGAGCCTGCAGCACGTCTCAGCATTCCAGCCCTGGGCAGCTCACCCGCTCTAGACTGCGTCCTTAGCGAAAGGCCAGGGGCTCGGCTGCGTGGGCTGTGTCTACATGCCCTGGGTGCGTGTAATTGCCCAGCCGTGTGTGTTGTTTCTCCAGCAGTAAAAACCCAGCAGGGAAACGAATGCTAAAATTAGTTTGTTTGTCCTTTGACAAGATCTCCCCAGTTGAAAGAATTTTGTTTATCTAACTAGCTGGGCAGATTTTGCTAAAATCAAAATTAACTGCCTTGTTTAATGGTGCAATAGATTGCAGTTTGAAGAGCTTCCACTGAACTCTCCTTGAAAGGACATTTGATCTAGAAAGTTCAGCCTCCGGCAAAGTCTCTGCATTTTGGTATAGGTTTTTGTGCTTTGTTTTTTTATCCTTGTGCTAATTGTAGGACAGATGCATCTTGCCCACTGCGGTGCCCTGAGTCACGCTTTTTAGATGAGTAAACAGGTAGGTGGGTGGGTGGATGATGATTAGACTGACAGATAGTTTAATATCCCTTGCTATATGTATTAGTTGTCAGTTTTGCTAACATTTAAAAAGACATAAAAACTGCATTCAGTTTCTCTTCAAAATCTATTGCCAAATCCCATTCTATGGCTTCATTTATTCATTCAACAAAAACAGTACTTAGTACACTTAGTATGTGCTAGGCACTTGGGATATGGATTTGAACAAACTAAGAACAGTCTTTGTCTTCAAGGACTTTACTATCTAGTGTGGGAGACTGGCACTAAAAAAAACTATACACATAATTAACTGTAGCTATAATCATTGCTTTTTTGAGGTAGGAGAGAGATTTTTGCTATAGACTGTGTGTACTCACTAGAGGGACAGAAAGCAAGAAATTGCCCTCCAGGGGGGATAGCCACACTGCAGTTCTTCTTCAGTCTCCTCTTGGAATTTTGGGCACGCACGCACACATGCACATCCTGCTGAGGTTCAAGCTTCTGGGTCCAGGACTCAAACCACTGTTGGCCATGTGGCAGTCCAGCAACATAACCGTTATGTCATCTGCTGGTCCCTAATCATTGCCTTTTTTTATTTAAGAGGTTTTTTGTTTGTTTGTTTGTTTGTTTGTTTGTTTGTTTTGCTATAGGGCATGTTCGCTCACCAGAGAGACAGAAAGTGAGAAATCACCCCCTGGGGATATGGCCATGCCTCAATCCCTTCTCCTCCATTCTCCTCTCAGGATCTTGGGCATGCACTCGCACGCACCTGGTGTGAGTTTAAGCTACTGGGTCTGGGACTCGAACCACAGTCGACTACATGGGAGTCCAGCGACATAGCCGTTATGCCAACTGCTGGTCCCGATAATTATTGCTTTTTAATTTCATTTTTCAGTGACATAAAATTTATATACCCCCCCTAAAAATCACTTTTTCTTGGCCAGGGGGAACGTGCAAGAGATAGATAGGGAGGGAGAGGAGGAGAGGGAGAAAGCACCTTCCAATGGGGTGTAGTCACACTGGAACCCCCTTCCATTGCTTGATCCGTTAGGGATTGGGGGCATACATGTACATGCCCCTGGCATGTTTTCTAAGCCACCGGGGCTGGAGCTCCAACTGCATTCAGCCATGTGGGACGGAGCTTCCTTTAACCAAAAAAGTGATCAGCATTAAGAGTGTTTTTTCGGGGGCAGCAGGTGGCGTAGTGGTTAAGACTCTGGACTCCCAATGGTCAACTGCTGTTCGAGTCCCAGACCTGGTGACTTGCTTTCTACCTCTCTCTCTCTCTATCCCTCTCTCTCCCTTCCTCCCTGGTGAGAACACATGTCCTATACAAATTAAAAAATAAGAATTATAAAATTAAAAAAAAATTTTTTTGGAGTAGGCTTTTGTTTTTAAAAAGATACAATTGAGGGACTAGGGTTGTGTGGTGGTTGAGGCACAGGACTCTCACATGGCCAACTACAGTTCAAGTCCTGGACCCGATGGCTTGCTTTCTCACTCTTTCTCTCTCTCTCTACACCTCCACAGCAGCTTTTAACTCGTCTTCTAAGGTTATAGCCCAAGGTTCTCAGCCAAGGTGAAAGAAATTCAGGGATTAGGAATCCGCAGGCTCTGTCCCATGTACGCTAAAGCTACAGTGTCAGATGCACTACTGCTTCCCATGATCCAGCTCTGCTGACTCTGTTTCAAGAAAATAATGGCTCACTGGTCTGCTTCCTATGTATTATTTAACTTGAAATGTCAAATGTTTGCAGTTCAGACACTTGGTCCATGGGATGGCCTTCCATGGGCCCCCCCGTTAGAGACCCACGTAGGGCTCAGAGTGATCCAGGTCTGGTTTCCGGTTCAGCCTGAGTTCTGTTGCTGTCCTGTTTTCCAAAGACAAGGGTGGTGACACCACCTCCCCTTTATGGGGTGCTGTGAAGGGGACAAGGTAGCGATGAGGTGCAGTTCCTCTGGGCCTGAACAACCGCCTCCTAGTGGCTAAGCTCTCAGGAACACGTCTGGCTGGTAGACCGCCCTCTGTACACAACGTCCCAGGGGTTCCACGTCCCCTGGACACCACCGATTTCATCAGAAGACAGCTTTGTAGTATCGCCAAGAGACCTGGAAAATCTGAGAAAATGAGCGTCACTGCCAGTGCTCGTGGTGTTCGGAGCATTGTGACAGCTCCCCTAAGACATTAGTGTTGCAGGTGGAACCATGGCTGGGTCTTCAGAGTCACGGCAACTGTAACAATGTCTCCCATTTATGTTCTTGTATACAAATTGCAGAGCTCTTCGGGACCAGCACTTAGTATAATGGCTATGTCACTGGACTCCCATGTAGTCGACCACGGTTTGTGACCTGGACCCGGTGACTTAAACTCACACCAGGCGCATGTGTGTGCGTGCCCAAGATCCCGAGAGGAGAGTGGAGGAGACGAGATTGTAGTTTGGCCATCCCCCCGAAGGGTGATTTCTTGCTTTCTGTCTCTCTCTGTCTGGTGAGAGCACGCGCCCTATAGCAAAAACCTCTCAAAAAAACAAAAACAAAACAAACAAACAAAAAAAAACAAATTGCAGAGCCCTTTCATATTCCTCACCTAATTCTGTCTTCCTTGTGATGTTTCCACGCATTACAGGCTGCGATATTCTCACCATGTAGGTGAAGACCTCGGGACCCAGAGAAGCAGCATGCCCATGAGGACAGACTGTCTTTACTCTTTACTCCTCCTTCCCCCTCTCCCTCCCTTCGTCCCTCCCTCTCCCAGTTGCCAGAGGGCAACAGAGAGAGAGAAGGAGAAGGAGAAAGCACTGTCTGTAGGACATGGTCCCACCACGATCCCTTCTCCTCCATTTTTCCATCCCATGGAGATTTGGGATGCACACACACGTGGTCAAGCTGCAGGGACCTGAACTGTGTGGTCAGCCATGTGGCATCTGGCTGCCTTACCCAAAAGACCCTCTTCTTTACTCTGCTGACCCTTTTCTCCTTCCTTGAAAGCTCTCCTGTGGACCAGCTCTGTGGTATGATGGTTAAGGGGGCCAGTTCCCACATGGCCAAGTGTGCAGTTCAAGTCCCGGACCTGGTGACTTGAGAAACGTTCTAGGCACGTGTGCATGTGTGCCCAAAATCTCAGAAGAGAGGGGAAAGGAAAGGGAAGGGACTTTGGCACAACCATTTCCTGTGGCGAGTGCTTTCTTGTTCTCTCTCCCCCACCCCTTCTCTTTCCAGCAATCATACATGCCCTCTTGACTAATAAATAAATTAATTTAAAAACTTGCCTGCTTTCTCCCTGCATTGTTCTGTAATGTCTGTGCCTATGATTTCCTCGTGAGGTGTCAGCTCCATTTACGTTCCTTAGGTAAAACACCTGCTCGTGTAATTGCTGACATCTAAAAGAATGTCATGGCTACATCTGGCGGTTCATTTTACTCACTAGCTCCCTTCTGCTTCATAGATTCCTGTGAGTTCAGATTCATTAAGCTGATTTTTTTTTTTTTGCTTGCAAGCTGGTGATGCTCTAGGTTGAATCAGCACCTGAGTTACCCTTGGGCTCTGATCGGTGACAGAACCTTGGGGCATCCTCAGTTCCTTCCCTCTCAGCGCACCAGACAGCCATGGAAGTTCTAGACACAAAGGACGAGGCTTCACGCGACCTGATTTGACCACACACCCATGCATCCCCCTCTTCTCCTTTTGAAGGTATATGACTGATGGTGGACTTGGCCTCTACACCCGTCGCCTGAACCGGCTCCCCGATGGGATGGCTGTGGTGCGGGAGACCCTGCAACGAAATACCTCCCTGGGTCTCGGAGATGCTGACAGGTAAGCTTGCTCCACTTGGGGCTGGCCAGATGCAGAGCGGCCTGAGGAAGGAAGGCCGTGATACTGGGAGAGTAGATGGGGACCTCTTTACCAAGGAGAGGAGGAAGACCCTGAAGCTATACCTGGCTTAGGAGCGAGTACAGGCAGAGAAGGGCTGCCTGGAGTTCTTGACTACTGCTTCTGGGAGGGGAGTGCGAGAACACAGGGAGTTCAGGCTTAGGTAGCTTCTGTTGTTGTTTTGACTATTGCTACTCAGCTTCGTCAGCTCGGCAGGCCCCAGGGATTTGCGCTGCTTCCTCTCTCCTAAGCCAGCTTTCTAGGTATTGTACCTTGTGACGCACAGAGGCCTGAGTACAGGAGGAAGCGCTACCAGAAAGTCCCTTGCTGCCTGGTAATCCGAGCAGGGCTTAAGGATGGAGGTTTATACATATACACCGCATTCTGAGGAGGTGGCGGGATCAGGGCTGACCAGGCTTCATTTGCCATTGCTGTCAGAGCAAAAGGGAGCTGCGGAAAACACTACAGTCAATAAAGGGGGTGGCTGGCTCCTGTGTGTCTAGACCTCACTCTAACGTGAATAGATCCTATGGTTTTGAACACCTATAAAGGGGGGGATTTGGACTCGGTGATTTTCAGGGTCCCTTCCAGCTGTATTTTTGAATTTCAGCACAGATTTCAAATGCCCTTCAATGATCTGATGGTTCAGGGACTTTTTGGCATGCTTGACCTTTCCCCACATCTCAGTTGATGAGCCGTAACGTGGAATTTAGATGTGAGTGGTGTGAAATGACCCTACGCTCCTTGGGTGCCAAACCTCATGTGCTGGAAAGCCAGAGAGTGGCCCTCCTAGCAGGACATACCTGCTCCCTGAGCTGGGTGACTTCTGCATTTCCATGCAGCAATAAGGCCGCACACTCAAGAGACAGACACTAAAATCACGCCCAGAAGTGGAATTTGCTGAGAGGAAACTCCATGTTCTTTCAAGGGCAGGCTGAGAAGCATTGAATAGTTAGCAAGGATGTGGCCGGCCTACTTGGGATGCTGCCCAGTCTCTACCACTGGCTTAAATCTGTCCTCTTTAGAGTACCCCCAAGGTCCTGAGTGGTTATTTATATCAGGGATGACAAACAGCGTTCCACTAGAGTCCTAGCTTGTCAGCTTTTTTGTGTGTGTGTAATTGGTAAAGAAGAGTATTGGTTTGAAAATTTCAAAGACACTTGAACCATTTGGGCTGACTCCATGGCCTGTAGTTAAGGGAGTCATCTTTCACATGGCCAGCCATGGTTTGAATCCCAGCTCCAGTGCTTGGGAAACATGGTGGGTGCATATGTATAGGTACCCCAAATCCCAGATGATGAAGAAGCCAACGAGATGGGATTGCAGTGTGACAACTCCCCATTGGGAGTGCGCTCTGCCTTCTCTGTCTCTCTGTGTTCCTCTGGTGAGTGCATATGCCCAATTACAAAGAAAGAAAGAAGGAAAGGAAAGGAAAGGAAGGAAAGAAAGAAAGAGGAGCTATTTAACAACTGTTCTTTCTAAGACTTCAACTCTCTGTAACTAAAATCTTTATACAGTTTGAATACTCCTAATTTGAAAACCTGAATTCCCAAATGCTCCAAATTTTGAAACTTCTTGAGTGCCAACATGATGCCACAGGTGGAAAATTTCATACCTGACCTTGTGTGATAAGCTGCAGCCAAAATGTTGCAATATAAAAATAGTGCATAAAATTGTCTTCAGCTGGGGACCAGCAAGTGGCATGGTGGTTAAGGCACTGGACACTCCCACATGGCTGACAAGGCTCGAGTCCCGGACCTGGCAGCTTGCTTTCTCACTTTCCCTCTCTCTCTCTCTGGTCAAACTAAAATAAAGTGAATTAATAAATAAAATTAAATTTTAAAATTCTAAAAAAAATTATCTTCAGACAATAACAGTATAAAGTATATATAAAAAATGAATTTGTTGTTTACACTTGGGTCCTCTCCCCAAGGTATCTCATTTCATATATATGTAAATATTTCAAAATCTGAAAGAAGTACAAAATCTAAAACACTTCAGGGCCCACGCATTTCGGATAAGGGATTCTCAACCTGTGATAAATATTGTCAGGAAAAAAATCTGCAGCAACCTCCCCACTGGAGATTTCACAATTTACCAAATTATTTTTGCTTATTTATATTCTGCTGTAAACATGTAGTTGGTTAGTAAATCTATTAGCATGAAATGAAAGTCTTACAAGGTACATTTCCCCCTCGTAGCTAAAGAAGAATCTAGACTAGGCAGTTTAATTTAATGCTTCATTGCAGGGTTAATGGAATGACTATGGTTCACAGCTGAGCTTGTTTCCGCTTTCAGAGATGGAGAATTTGGGGGTGGGGTTGGAAAGAGGGATAGCATTTGTTATGTTGTTTTAGATCAGCCTGTACGATTGAACTAAATGAACAACAATGTCCTGTTTCTCCCTAGACTGGAATTCTCAGATGTGATTATTTGTTTAAGGCTAAATGGATAACTGATCAAGTTTTAAAGACAACTCAGGCAGCTTTCTAAAAAAGTAATATTTAATAATGATTATAAATTTCTTCCTATTTTATACAAGTTGGGTTTTCTTTTTCTTTTTTTTTTTTTAAGGTTTTTGCCATTAGGCCCATGCACTTGCCAGTGAGAGACAGAGAGAGAGAGAGGGAAAGTGAGAAGCAGTGAGAAATCACCTCCCTGGGAGAACAGTCACACAACAATCCCTTCTCTTCCATTTTCATCCTGGGATTCTGGACACGTGTGCACACACGCACGTGCACACACACACACACACACACACACACACACCCAGCATGATTTTCAAGCCGCCAAGTCTAGGACTTGAACTGTGGTTGGCCATGTAGGAGTCCAACAGCTTAACCACCACATCACCGCTGGGCTCCGCAGATATAAGTTTTATAACTTAAAGGTATGTGTGTGGGGGGAAGCAAGTATTTTGTATTGCACTGTTCTAGAATATGCTACTTTTCTTTCATCTCAAAGTTACTGTGAGTAGACTAAGAATGCTTCATAGCATTCCATGCTAAGCTGGCATAGTGGTGGAATTTGATTTCTATAAAATCCTTCATGAAAGTTTCAGCATAGTTTTGTACAATAACAAAAACTGTATTCTAGATGAATGTTTTCTAAAGCAAGAGGCTAATGTTAATAGTATAGGATATTGGGGCCAGTAGGTGGCATGCTGGTTAAGGTGCTGGACTCCCACATGCCTGATTACGGTTCAAATCCCAGAACAGGCCACTTGCTTTCTCACTTTACCTCCCCTCCACCACTTGGTCAATTTTTTAAAAAAAGAAATGAGGGACCAGCAGATGGTATAGCAGTTATGTCGCTAGACTCCCATACGACCAACCATGGCTCGAGTCTTGGATCCAGAGGCTTGAAACTCATGCATGTGCATGTGTGCCCAAGACCCTGAGAGGAGAATGGAGAAGAAGAGATTGCGGCATGACCATCCACCCTGGGGGGTCATTTCTTTCTGTTTGTCTCTCTCTGTCTTTCAGGCAAGCACAGGCACCCTATAGCATAAATCTCAAAAGAAAAGAAATAATAATAAATAAAATGAAATAAAAATAATTCTTAAAATAGTATAGGGACTAGCAGATGTCATAATGGTTATATCGCTGAACTCCTACATGGCCCACCATGGTTTAAGTCCCAGGCCTGGCGGCTTAAAACCCATCCCAGGCACCTGTGTGCACATGCCCAAGATCCTAATAGGAGAGTGGAGGAGAAAGGATTGCAGTGTGGCCATCCTCCCTGGGATGGTAATTTCTTGTTTTCTGTCTCTCTGGCTAGCACATGCACCCTATAGCAAAAATCTCAAGTAAATAAATAAATAAATAAACAAATAAATAAATAAGTGTGTGAGTAAGAAAAGGAGATAATTTTAGATGGGAGACAGGGGGAAAGTATTTCTTCTTAACAATCACATTTTAATTTTAATATTTTAAAAATCTTACAACAGGGCCAGACAGGTAGCATGGTGGTTAAGGTGGCCGGATCCCTCATGGCCAAGTATGTGGTTTAGTCTGGACCTGGTGTCTTGGAAAATACTCCGAGTACGTGTGCGTATATGCCCAAAATGCCAGAAGAATGGAGGATAAGAGATTGTGTGATGGTCACTCACCTGGGAGGAGGGGGCTGCTCTCTCACTTGCCCTTTCTCTTTCTTTTCTGTCTCTCTCTCCAGTGAGCACATGTGCCCTATAAGGAAAAATTCACTTAAAAAATAATAATGAAATAAAGCTTACAAGCAGCACACCAAACCTATGATTTTGCTTAATGTAGGGATAGGATAGGCTTGAGACAATGTGATATGAAACATCAAGAAAGAATATCACAGATGGTGCAAAAAAAAATAAAAAGATGGTATGCAAATGGCTGCAATTTGGGTAATACTGTCCTTGTCCTTGTTATTGAAAATATATTCCTTAAATCATTTACATTATACAAATGATAAGAATTCTTCCCCTTTAACCTGAAAAATGAAGGTGCCAAGCTAAGATATTTCCAGCAAGTTGTATATAAAAAGACAGAACTCAGTCCTTATGGATTCACATGTACTCAAAAACAAAACAAAACAACAACAACAACAACAACAAAAAAAAAACCACACACACACACACAAGTTCTACAAAGGAAATAGGAAAAGTACTGAGAGATTAGACACTATTAAACCTCCACAGAAGGAAGACAAGCGCAGGGAAGTCAGATCTCTGTGTGAATAAGAAAATCATTAAGTTCCGCATTGCAGCTCAGGGAACAGCTAGCTCCTCCAGGACAGGCCTTCAAAGTCACTGACTAGAGCAGCATGGGTTGCTTGCACCGGTATGTGTCTGGGTATCTCCAGGGTTATTCCAAGACACTGATAGCAGTGTGTACCTTCAGAGCCTGGCGATAGAAACCGTTTCAGTTTGTGAGTCTGTGTGTCACCAGCCTGCTTCTGAGAAATCATACATG